ATGACATTCGAAAGTTTTACTCGTTATGAATTTCGCAAATAGATCAATCCTGTTTTTAATCGACTATTATTAATAATAATAATAATTTATTCTCAGACAATATTTTATAGTCCATAGAATGTTAGTAACAATGTGCCTTAAAAACTATGTTAGTAAAGTATAAAATAGATTATTTAAAATACTTAGATTAAGAGCAACGGATTGTCCGCTCGGATAGGAGCGCCCAATACACCACCAATATTAACTATCAATTTAAGTATTTGTAAATTAAAGTACCTATGCGATACAATTATTCAGACTAAAAACTCTTTTGTTATTTGGTGAACATGATAAACTGGCTAGTTTAATTGTTTCGTTTAAAAGTTTTCATCAAAGTTTTTGTAATACGGAGAAGTTTAAAGTTTTAAAAATTAATTGGAATTGGTAGCATATCAAAATTTTTTCCCACCATCCACGATTCCAATCACAGTTTGCTAGCTTTAAAATAATGTATAATTCAAAATGATACCTACTTACATATTTTTATTTTAAGTGTGTTAACAGTGTTCATATTGCCAAATCTTATTTATTCATGATAAACCATCTATTTGCTAGTGCTTTTTATGTTATGATTATATGTTACCTCTGATGGTAAACAAGCACTGTACCTATAGACGCCTGCGATACCAAAACTATCACTCGCGCCGTTGCCTACTCTGACAACATCCCCTACACATGGAACCTTACTGACCGACAACACGATAAACATAACACCACAAAAAGGTAATATCACTTAACTTCTATAAGTTATTTGGAGGAGGTTATAACCCTAGACGGGCGCTCCAATTCGAGGAGAAAATCCACTATAACCTACGTATCATAATATCTTCTACTTGCCAAACTATAGCGGTAGTCACCATCATGCTGTGTTGAACCTGGCTTGCTGTCCCCTATCCCGGGGAACACTAAAAACTAAGAAGATAATTTTTCATGAGGATGAACTTTTACGCGCTGCAAATACGCTATATAAATACAGTACTATTGACGGAAACGAGCTAGTAGAAAGAAAGTAACATCCACCTTAGAGAAGACCACCATTTGTCCTGCCTTTTGGTGGTTTTCCGGGGCTCCACTGCGTAGGTATGGCTAGGAATCGGCTAAAGTGCAACAACTAATACTCTATTATCTATGTATATTCTAAGAAACAACAAAACTATGGTGACTGGCTTACCAGCCAGGCGGGCTATTGTGTGCCAACTTGGATGGGAAGCGCATCCTCTCTTCTAACCAATTGCGTGCCCGTCGGGGTCCATAATGCTCATATTTATATGTGTATAAGTACCTACCACCCACTGTACATATTATGGTTGCAATAAATGATTTGAGTTTGAGTTTGAAAAACTTTTTGCACATAACAAAAGATTTCATACTAGAATTTTGTAAGCTGTTCTTTAATAAAGAAAGCTCTCTATTATCTCTGTTCATGGAATGAACTATAGTTATTATTCTGAGGAATGAAGACAGCATAGAAGAAGAATGGAAGGAACGAGCTGGAGCTGTTTCACTTAAGTACAGCGTACAGCTTATCGATTATTCTTACAGAGAACAAAAATATTTGTTTCAGTAGAAGGACTAAAAATATAAACTGCAGATCTTTTTTCATATCCCACTAATATTATAAATTTCAAAATTTGTATTTTTCTGTGTTTGTAGTTTGTTATCACGCAAAAACTACTAAACGGATTTGGATGAAATTTAATACGCAAAAAATGTAGTTTGTGACCTCGAATGAGACATACTTTTTATTACAGGTTCCTATGATTCTAAAAAAATAAGCGGACGAACTCGCGGGCGGCCGCTAGTCTAATATAAAAGTTTCCTAAGATCTTTTTCATTTCTTAAAGTACATGGAAATTATGAAGTGGAAAAACTTTTGTTATTTAATTTAACGTTTAGGAAGTGTGTTTTTCAATGACAGCCTGTCGCACAGTATAGATTTAGTACACGGAGCAAATACAAAGTATTTACATTTGCTCCGTAGTTTACTACCTACACGTTACTGTATTATTAACTGTGAAAACCAAAACTACTACGTTCTAATCTATTAGAGATCAATGTAAACATGATGAAATATGTTTACCTAACTGTAAAATAATTAATAACTGCCTGAGTACTTCCATGTAGGTGGAACAAGTACCATTAAGTTTTATTTGATTTACCTTTTTTAGTTGCGTTTAGTTTTATAGATTAATACCAAAATTCGATAGAAGAAAAGCTCAAGAGATGTTATCTTTGATTAGGTAAAGTAATACATCACATGGCTATTTGTATTTTCAATTTGTAAATTTGACGTCATCCCTATTATGTTCTATCCTATCCTACGAATATTACAAATTTGCTCATGTGAATCATGTGATGTGTACGTTTGTTAATTATATAAACTAAGTTTGATAAATTTTTGGCACTTATAGATATATTTTATTATCTGGATTGAGATATATAACACTTTTATATTGGAAAAAGGTTAGGTTCCTTTGGCATTCGAAAAAAAACTAAAGTTAAAAGACTAGTAGGGAAACGAGAGTGTCAAATTTAGATGAGGCATTTGCTTGATCTAAATTTAACACTCTCCTTTTTGTTTCGTATAAATAAATAAGTATTTTTCAACACTCACACCAATTAGCCTAGCCCCAAAGTAATCGCTGTAGGCTTGTGTTATGGGATACTAGGGTAACGGATAGAATACATTATACTGATGCATATATAAGTATATTCTATAGAAATACATATTAAACATTCATGACTGGAGTATAAATGGTCGTATTCATTACACAAACATCTCTGCCTCCACCGAGGTTCGAACCCGGGAACCTCTCGAGTAGACGAGCGATACCTTGAAACCCGGCTTATCCACTCGGCCACTGAGGTCGTTCGTATTTAAGTACGAATAGCCATATTCAGCATATCTTTAGCAAGCATTAAACAATGATATTGTGAAATTGACAATGTTCTGTCTATGCTGCGGTTTGAGCTTTGTCTGACGCGGCCCGGCCTGGCCACCACGCCATTTGCGCCGCGCCTTAACTTTTCAGGGTTCTTGATTTCATTAATATTTGATGGAAAATATCTTTATTTAAATTTAAAACCACAAATTAACATATTATAATGGAGAAAGTCACTTTGTCTGTCTGTCTATAAAGCTTACATGCCTTTACTACTAAATCGAATTCGTTAAATTGTAGGTATATAAAAAAAAGATAAAAGATAACTTGAAGAAGAACATAATATAGAAGGCCTGATACTCGCGAAAATATAATTTGAAGAAAAGTAAAAGGATGCTAATTAAAGCATGTATAGGAAATTGCTACTACAAAAAAATGTAGATAATAACATTTATTTTATAATAATTAAGGTTACCTACATTATTAATGTCGGAAAATGCGACTCAACATGCAATTTAAAAAAGAAAATCGTATTCTAAGAAAAACAGGAGAACAGGAGTTTCTTAATATTACGTGAACACTAATAATTCTTTAGAGTGATTTAATTTTACACGCTTCGAAGGGACACGAAGGTCCATTATGGGGGCCATATTGTGTGAAGTGGTGAATTTTATGGAGCGTGTAATGGCCTTGAGACGACTTCGGCGGTACTTTTCGCATATTTAAGATTCCTACTCAATATCTAATACTTAATCAGATTATTGTGAAAGTTTGAATGTTTGTTTATTTTTATGAAATTTGACAAACTTACACAATTAATCTATAATTACCCGATTAAGACAAAGGATACTTTTTATTATATTAGAAATAATTATTTTGTATAATATTAAAAATAAATATATTATAGATGTGAACGATTGTACGTACTTTGAATGTTTATATAGGTATTCGGATTTATCTTACTCAATCACCAAAATTGCTTAAATTATACTATAAGACTATTTTACACATATATTAATTATCCTGAATTGTTTTAGTTAAGAAAGTTGAATCCTTATTAAGTATCAGAATCGTTAAAAATAATTAAGAAGCTAATAAATCGCCCTTAATACCCGTTTAAAAGTGTTATACGTTATATCTAGCTTGTAACTCTTGTAAGTGTGTAAATAAAACACAAAGTTAACGTAAGTAAGTAACGTAACGCAAGTAACTCGTCAGTAATTTTAAGCAGAAACTATTTGTCCTTTCCTTTTGTTAAATACCTAATAAACTTTACAAAATCTTAATTGGTCGTTAAAGTTATCACACGGTATTCACAGGAATGTCACTATCCAAAGGAACAACTTTCGCATAAGGCTATAATAAACTGCTTTGTAGATTATCTCTTTCAGAACTTTCCCTTTGTTCCACAATAGAATGCGCCGGCTGTGACCTTGCTTTTGGTTTATATGACAGAAACTTAGTGCGTAAAGTTTAATTAAAATTAAGTATTGGTACCTACCTACGCAGTTCATTATTATTTTATAAGTTTTAATAAAAGTTTTTCACTAATCGTTCGTATTCGAATAAATTGTTTTTTTTTTATGTTATTTTTACACTTTTTTTTTAAATTTCTTTAAAATAGTATTGAGATGATGATATTTGTTTGTTCTTAGTAAAGATACTTGTTGACTTAGAATTAAGCTATGTTATGATCTTAATAGAAAAAATTAAGGAAGCGTGTCTTCTTCTTGTCTGCTCTTCGAAGTATCATGAGAAGCTATCCTGATATATTCCAAAGCTGTAAAGTGAAAATTTTTGTTCATAAATATTACATGTGTAATCACTTATTCAGCAGCAGTAATTGCTTTGTTTTATTTGTGGATTTTTCATATCCGCTCCGAAGCGCAGCCAAAAAAACAATACGCTTTATATTTATAGGGATTTTACACATTTCAATAATAAATGGAAAAATAAAATATTAAGTTCGAATGATTATTTTGTAGAGTACCTATATAGTAATAAACATGTGTGTTAATGGTAAGCCTAAATAAATGAAAATTGTATCAATATTAATATCATAAAGAGCGCTAATCATACCTTCTAAAAGGGCGAGAGCGAAAACTAAAGGCAATATCGTCAGCTGCATCACTGTCACTGTTCTGTATCAAATTAGCATCCAAAACTGATCTGTATCACTGCAGCGGCCAATTGTTTGTTTACAAACCCCGTTACGAACTGTTATAGTGTGACATTTCATTTATTATAATAGTAAAATCGCGAAAGGTGAACGTGTTTACGTTGCGGCGCGATCGAGAGTACACCGCGCTTGGTATTCAGGGGACAACTGTCCGTATTGTCTGTCGGTTCTCGCTTATAATAAATACATAAGCCGACCCCTGCCTGTGAAGAAAGGACGTCAGCTGTTTTGGATATTATTTTTTCCGTACAATAATATATAAAATGTATGAAGACAATTGCACACTTGGTTGGTTTAAAGTACAACATCGGATAGGAAGTGACACCTTCTGCCGAGTTTCTTTTTGCTTTGCCGTTTTACATACGTTATTATAGTATTGTATACGTATACTTGTTCGTAGTATTTTGAATAATTTATTCAGAATTCTATTACAAGAGCATTGTCAACTCTTCAGGTACATTCCTGAGTACCCATCTACATTGGCGCCTTTAGGGTTCAGACTTCTGAGTCAGGAGGTCTGATGCCGCTGTTAGGTCTACTTTTGACATCTCGATTCCGTGACACGCGACGCCAGTTGACTCAGCCCGCACCATTGCTCTATAGGTACCTCACTTTCTTCTCAAGTCAGGGGGCTTAGAAAAGTGCGATAAGCTTGCGATATGTAATTTAATTGCACCTATTTTATTATATTTTTTATTTTGTGCATTAAACTGCTCAATTCATAAATCTAAAGAAATTTTTCTTAACATTAACGATAGGTATATGATCAAAACCGTAGAGTCCTTTAACCCATCAGCAGCGCCACCTATTGGGTAGAATGATTGTAGGTGAAGTTTGTTGCAAAAAATAATAATCGAGAGCTAATTATGAAGTGTTCTTCAATTTTCGGGATGCAGCTTATTATCGTGAGAACCTTCTGCAGATCACTTCTTTCTGGCATAATTTTAGTTGGCTTATTTTGCTATCAGCTACCTGATTTACTTACTCTACCGCGGCTGAGCAACTACATGCTTACTTACTGGTCAGTTTTAAAAGGTTAATAGGAAGGCCCATTAGATAGGTGGGCCCATTAGATGTTGTTTTTAAAAATGAAACCGTAAGAGCTTAGAAATACAATATACAATTACTTGCGGATTTTTTCAAATAAATGAAATAACAATACATTGGTGTCGATTCTGGAGTGATTCTCTAAACTTAAAATTAAATTTAACATCAGTCTCTCCTTTTCATTCTGTATAGAGAATAACAAGGATGCACTGTTGTCAAATTTAAGTTTAGCTTTAGAAAATCCTGCCAGTATCGACACCAGTGTCGATCTCTACATCTATCTATATATATAAAACTCCAAGGTGACTGCCTGACATAGTGATCTATCAACGCACAGCCCAAACCACTGGACGGATTGGGCTGCAATTTGCCATGCAGGTAGATGTTATGACGTAGGCATCCTCTAAGAAAGGATTTTGATCAATTCTACCCCCAAGGGGATAAAAGACGGAACGAAAGTTTGTATGAAACTTTGCCAATTTTAAACCGATCGGGCTGAGACTTTGCATGCAGGTATAAGAAGAATCATAGATGAATGTCATTGTGTATAATACAAGCCTGAGAACAAAAACTGTAGTCTACACTTCAGCTCTACACCGAAGCGAAGCGAGGCCGAGCCGCTAGTATTGCGAGTAATCTTCCCTATTGCTTAAAATTAACGCGAAATAATAGTTATAATGGCACCTCACCTAGATTTCATCTTTTTAGTAAGTAGACCTAGGTAAGGCTTGCGGGAGCCAGGTGTGAGATCCGTTCGGCGGTGTGCTTCTTAAAGGCACCGTCGTCTGTAAACAGAGGTTTTGCCTGCGTCACAAAAAAAAGGTAATAGGGTTCCGTTGTCACGCTTTGGCCACAAAACCCTAAATAAGAAAGTTGTTCACATTTTATTGACCATCAGACATACGTTACGTGCCTCTGCCACTAATATGGAGATATTAACCTTGAAAACTGACCTATTCTTACTCCTTAAATCGTCTGATATTTCAATAAAATTGACCGTTTTTGGAAACTATGATTATGATGTTCCAGCTAAATATTAAGCGCTACTAAAAGGTACTAAAGGAATAAAATTACTATCGAACTAGCGGCCGCCCGCGACTTCATCCTCCCTCAGGAACCTGGTATTTTTCCAGGATAAAAAGAACCGTATGTCTCAATCCAGGTTTTAAATTATATATATTATAGTACCAAAGGATAACAACCATTTTGGTACTGATCTTGTACAAACATCATCTTCATCATCAGCCTATTAATGTCCCCACTGCTAGGGCACAGGCCTTCCGTATGGATGAAATAGGGAGATTGGGCCATGACCCACCACGCGTTCCCAGTGTGGATTGGCGAGTGGTAACGACTGTAGATGCAGCCGGGATCAACGGCTTAACATGTCTCCTTGCCAAACTCGAGATGGAAGATTTTTGGGCACCCATCCAATAACTGACCACTGCGAAAGTTGATTAACTTCAACGATCGCTGCCGAACGCTCTAACCATCTGCGCCATCGAGCTCCTGTACAAACATAATTGTTTAATATTATGTTAAGCATTAAAAAGTAACTAATATAAGATAAAAAGTATTTTTTAGCTAGTGGTGAAACTCAAAACAGTATTAAACTTTAACGTATAAAGGAACGTAGCGTTCAGCGTATAAAGGAACTTAAGAACATAGTTTGCTATTATATTCGAAAAAATCGATTCAACTAACCATAAGTTGAATGTTTAATACGGACTCGCGCTCCGAGGGTTCCGTACAAACCTGAATTTTCAAAAATACTTTTTATTATATGATGTAACTAAAAAGGTTTTCGTAATTTTTGCTTTACCTGTACTATAAGACGTTTCTTCATACCAAATTTTAAAATTCTTAGTTTACGGGAAGTAGGTACCCTGTAGGTTTTGATTCCTGTGAGTTTCGAAAATTTGCGGGAATTTGCGGCATAAACGGCTGTATCTTTTGATTGCTTTGGCTTAGAAGTTTGATTTTTTCACAGCTCCAAGGGACAGTAGACCTGAGTATTAGATATGAATTTCAGTTTGATACCTTCACGCGGACGGACGGACGAACAACAAAGTGATCCTATAAGGGTTCCGTTTTTTCCTTTTGAGGTACGGAACCCAAAAAATGGAAAATGATGTCGTTTCCTCATGCAAAAACTAATCTGCTACTTCAATCCCGCTGAAATATGGTGTTTCCGATTATAAATGTACAAGAATTTATTTTTTGTGAAATGTTAATATTCTGGTATAAAATTCAATTAAAGAAAAGGCGCGGAATGACGAATGTATGACAAAATTAATAGATGGAAATTCATAGTGATGCGACGAAAAATGAATGAAATGACTGAATGGTATTTTTATTACTGGAAAACTACCAATCAGATTTAATTAAGTGCATTTACCGTAATGAATAACAATTTGATAAAACAAATATACATGGATAGATTTTATAAAAAAACAAACATTCATTAATTCACGATCTATCAACCTATAAGTTATACTTAACAAAACAAAATCTTTCTTTTGACGTTGAAATATGATAATATGTATATATCCGTGGGACACTCGGAAAGTTTTTAATAAACTAAAAAACTAACTTCTATGAAAAAAATATTTTTATTAAATCTTTTCAAAGAACTCTCCACCAACATCTATCTATACAAAGTTTCATGCGTCTGAACCAATTTTCAAAACATTTTTTCCAGACACTTGCAAATACTTCTTCCACTGCCTTCTCAAAAGCTGCAAGCGCTTCTTCCGAAAGAGCTGATTTTTTATTTTAGGGAATAAAAAGAAGTCACACTGAGCCAAATCAGGACTGTAAGAAGGGTGTCCCAAGACTGACTGGTGTGGTGTCCAGGAAGTCCTTCGTTTTGATCGCAGAGTGTGCGGGCGCGTTGTCGTGGTGAAGAAGGACCCCGCGGAGCCCGGTGTTAGGTCGCTTGTTGCTCATTGCAGAAAAAACTTCTGACAGGCATTTTGTGCTATACCATTCGGCGTTGATGCTGCTTTGGTCTCGAAGTGGAATTGAAATTAGGTACCCCGTCAAAATAAAGAAACAAGCGATCAAAATTTTCCCTGCGCTTCTCGATCGCTTCACTTTCGTAGGCGTAGGTAGGTTCATTTTGAAACTGCCAAACTGTCGAATGACGCTTTGTTTTTGGATCGTATTGATAAATCCAGGATTCGTCACCTGTCACAATATCTTTAACGCGCCGTGACGAGCCTGCATCCATATCACTGCACCAATCCACATGCTGAATCTCTTCGTACGTAATTCGTCTGTTTTCTTGAATCAAATTTTTTATTGCCAGGCCAGCACACTTTCTTCGGTGACAGCCGTCGTAGGACGACCACTCCTTTATTCATCCCCCAAGCTAAGACGACAGCGTTTGAACTCGCTACACCCGCGGCAGATGGTTGATTTTGAAGGTCCTTCATCCATAAAAGCAGTTCGAAATCGATCAAATGACTCATCAGGTTTTAAGCCACATTTAAAATCGTAAAAAATCATAGCACGAAAATGTTCTCGATGCAGATCCATTTTTTTAATGAGACATGGAGACATAAGACAAGATAAATTTAATTGGCTCTCGACATAACGCGGAGGGAAATTTGAAAATCAGACAGTGGTATTTTTACTTTTAAATAATCGAGGTTTTCAAAATAATTATAAGTGGCCAGTGTCTTTACATACATAAACTTTTTTTCGCAATACTTTCTGAGTGGCCTGGTATATATTAGCTCAGCCGCGGTAGAGTAAAGGAGGGAACACGTGCGCGGGCAAAGAATTCCACTTACGAATAGCACGACAAAGAAATGAGTCACCAAATTTCTTTGTTTGTGTAAGAATAGTGGCCACAGTGACCTCGATGGACGTCTGCCAGGACTTGCGCATCTAGTTCCCTCGACGTCACACCTGCGAGTACGCAGGCCGCGCCGTGGCTGACCATGCGATATGCTCGCACGGCCCGGTATTCTATCAGTTACCCTTTTTTTTTGTGACGAGGGGAAATGCAGTTACGCACCATACCGTGACGCTGACTAGGCGCACGGCGTGTGTGGGACTCGCCGGCACGGGAAACAGTGCCGACCCTACTCAAGC